TTCCTCAGCTCTGTGGTTCCACAACACCCTCGCTCTGCACTTTGGAGTGGGTGTAAACGTGTTCTGGCGACATCTTCCTGCCGACAGTTACGACAAAAAGGACCCGTACGGTAACAAAGACCCCGTGGCTGCTGCTCGAGCCCTTCAGGCCTTGGAGAGAGCACTGCACACTCTGGATGAACTCCCGGCAGATTATCGGGACTTCTATGGGCGCCGCATGATTCAGCGAATCCAAAAACGGACATGCAGCGACAGTCAATCGACAACAAGTACACAGCAGGACTCTGACAGAACATCACCAAGCAATCACTTCACCAAACCTGGATGAATTTTGAAATGTGGAGTAACCAATACAACAGAATGCATGTAAGATAAATGATTTGGGAAAACATCAATTTAGGGTTCTTTTTTTAAGAAGGATCTCACTGAATGTCAAAGAAAATTGCCAAAATGTTGTTGTATCCTGCTGAGAAAATTTACACAATGAAGACACTGTATGAGGATTAGAATATCTCTTTTGTTCCCCCAATTAATCACCTAAACCCAAAACTGTTCACATATTAAAAGCCCGACCAATATGACTTTTTAGGGGCCGATACCGATATTGATATTGGGGAGAGAAAAAATTCCTATACCGATATATCGGCGGATATCTTTCTTAGATCTATGGAATCTGTAGAGGCTGATTTAAATGTACACATTTTTCATTGATCCCTCAAATGAAGTTTTCATACACCTGTTGAAAAGATTTAAAATGAAGACAAGATGGTCACTCGACTTGAAAATAACTGAGTATGTAAGTGCATCACCACTTGACACTCTGGACAGTGATAATGACTGTTATAAGCCATATAGCGCCCTCTGCTGGCGACAAAGAACTGCTAGTGTAATACTATGAAACTCAAATTAATGTTTTTTGACTGGTGAATAAATCTAGTAATAACGGCGCATTATTTAGAATAAAATTAGCCGATATTGATAGTCATTGATAGTCACTTGATAGCTAGTATCGGCTGGCCAATTAATCAGTCGGGATGTAGTTAAGAGTCACTCTGTTTCTCAGAATGAAGCACCCACTGAGCCTCCAAAAAGGCTGTGAAGGAACAAATGAAAATTTAAGTCATGACATATAGAAGACAATGTTTAACACAGTACTGAATTGCACTTGTGCAGATACCAATGTGGTTTGAACTTTTATTGCACAAAGATAACAGATCTTTATGTATCCTTACAAACATTTTAAAGCTTTGTAAACAGTGAAGCAGCAGCTGTTCAGTGTCTCCTGCTAACACCGCTTTGAGTCCCTGTGGTCACATTTCTTCAGCATGTCTCAGCTAGTAAGTGTGAACACAAGAGCTAACCAGTGACGGACTACATGAAGCAGAGAGGAGCTCGGAGATATGACTTTATCTTAGCAGAAGTTCTGAGGTTACACTCTTCATCGTTCAGTAACCTGCCTCAGACCGTGTTAAGGAACTACAAGTGAAAGCCGGTGATTATATTGTGATGGGGTGCAGTGTGAAAACGGGGCATTACTGTCTGCAAACACATCCTGTTCAGTTTGACCACAAGTGAAAAACACCCAAACATTTACATTTTTAAAAATAGTTTGGCTTTGGGTGCGAACGAGAAAAATATACATAAAGGGGGAAGTTCTGGTATTTTAAACCTGGGCCTGATTCTGACATTCTGGGGTCTAAATGACTAAAAGGTACAATTTTTTTTTAAAGATCTTTAGATTGATCAGAAGACAGAATGGCCTGTAAGACCTGCAGTGTTGTCCCTGCAAGTAATCGAACCAAATCAAAGTACAAGTCAACTAATAATGGTTGTTTTTGCCACCAACAAGACTGAACAAATGTTGTTTTGTGTCTGACAACATGGTTCTTTTCTCTTAGATAAAATCAGTTTACTAACATCAGATGCAAAAGTTACCTCGCCCCTTTCAAAGTTAACAGACTCCTTTGACAAAAATATGAATTTTGGCTTGCAGAGCACTTCAATTGATTCATATGTTTGTGGGTTTTGATTCAACACATTTAAATCACTGATGGAGTTGGTGGTACACAAGCAACTTTGTGTTTGCAGGGACCTTGCATTTTTTTTTCCTACAGTAGTCTGTCAGTTGTGAGGAACGTCACACCCTTATGGTATAATCTACCTTTGTAGGGGTGTAAATACTGTAATGCTGTCACACTGGAAGAATAATAATCTGCGTCTGTCAGTGGCAAACACAATCACTACTAGTGGACGTAACTGCCTCTACGGATTATGTTGCAGTTTACAGCACGTCGTGGAACTGTTGGCATGATCATCTTTGATTTTAAACTTTTTGTACTTCATTAGTCACTTAAACACCAAAATATGATACCAGGATTTAAAAACAAAGGACTTACCCTTTAATCTTACTCTTTCATTCACAATACACACGCAAAACTCTCAACTCAGTCTTCCCTGCAATAAAGGGTTAAGCAGTCTGGCGCCATGGACACGGCCCTGTGCGCTGCACGCTGATTCTTCTTTTCCTGCATTTCTCCGTCCTTCAAGTGAGCAAGGCAAGGTGAGGAGCGGCAGAAAGAGGGCAACATTTTCTCTCGCTACACCGGACTTCAGACAAGTGTTTCTGGTGTGGTTCAGTCACGAGACTCTTCATGTGGCCCGTTCCTCTTCAGCAGAGCGGTGCAGGACAAAGTCATGAGGTACGCAAACACCTGTTGCCCCAATTCATGAAGTTTCTGGGTGAGCAGGCAAAGCTACGACGAACTCTCATCATACAGAAAAGAGACAAAGAAATGGCACATTGCTTGTTGGTGTTCGGTAGATACTAAATTCTTGTTTTTTTTTTTTTGTTTTTGTATACTAAGGTTGTAATCAGGCAGATGGAAGAAAAAACCCAAAATGCAGGATGAGTCTTTTCGAAATGATCGGCCAGTTTTGGATAGAGAGAAGGTGAATTCGATCTATGGAGTCTGGGCCATGCCACGAGTAGACTTGATCTTCTCCAGCCTTTTGGAAAGGTGGCTGTTATTCGACTCGAGTTCATCCACCTTGTCCAGTGCTGATCGCAACTGTTGAGTCAAAAGAGGGGAGAGAATATGTCAACAGTTTAAACAGAGCTTGCAGAATTATCTCGCTCTTTCATTTTGACAAAGTAAGAAAAACCAAAGTCCACCTCTCTTTGTAGTTTACGTTTCTCAGCTTTGAGTTCATCCTCCACTTTCTCTGCGTTCTCTGACGCAGACTTGTAGCGCGTCACCTGACCCTCAAGTCTGCTGACCTGGAACAAACAAACAAAAACATTCATAAAGTGAGAGAGTTGCCTCGTTTCAAGCCAGTGTATGAATTTATCGTTTCTTATAGCTTACATTTTGTTCCAAAGCGGTGACCTCTTGTTCTGCCTTCACAAGCTTGAACTTTAAGTCACTCATTTGTCTGTTTGAATCTCCTGCAAAGAGACACCAAAGCAAATATTCTTGAGATGTAGGAGACAGTAAAATTACAAAGTGAAACTACTGGTTAGTTAAACACACATGTGCACTTACTCTGCATTTCTATTACGTTTGGATCATTTCCGTTTTCAAGGATTTCCCCGTCAGGGCTGGAACTGTTGTCCGTCCCATTCTTCTGAGTCTTCTCATCCAGTTGGGCCTTTAGTTTCTTCACCTGTCGATAGAGCCATGAATCATAAATAACACAATCTTCCAATGAACAAATGAAAACTCACAATCACAAACTCTCAGTCGGGGAGGGTTCGCCTGCTGGATCATTTTTTATATTTCACCAAGGTGATATAGGATATTGTCAGGATAATATTTAAAAATGTTCTATTAATATCTAAATGGAAAGATCCATCCCTCTACATGCTGAGAAATCGGGTTGATCTAGGTTCTAAACCAATACAAACGTGAACCTTTTCACACATGCACTCCTGAAAGTTTCCCAGAGTCTGTCCCTGAAATCTTCCTGAGTTGCTGGTTCATACATATCCCTCTCAGCGGGAGATTTTCCGGTAGGACAGGGAAGGAGGTGGGTCTCAGGAAGAGGCAAGCCATGACTTTAAAATGACGCACCAAGATGGTGGAAGACAAGGGAGGCCAACCCCTTGATGACAGTTTTTACCTTTTTATAAATGCTACGTGATATTGGATGTATTTACATACTGGTGAGCAAAAATCTGAATGAGGCAGTTTCATCACATGCATGAAGAATTAACCAGATGTCGAATGAACAAATGTCATTACTCCCATCCCTCTTGTTGTTTTTTTCCTGAATATTAGCTGCTGCGTTCGTTCATGTTCTACGGGTCTGATAGGAGAAATTCTGGATAAAAATGGTCTAGTTGTGTTAACACATGCAGCTCATCCTAAATATTTCAGGGACATTTTCAGGGGTTTTGTGCATTTGAGAATAGTGGATATTTATCATGTTTCCAATGGGAAAAAGTGTTTCAGGTAATGGAGAAGAAGTGACACACCTGCTCTATCATTTTTTCACGCTCATCCACCAGTTTCCTCAGACGTATTTCTGAAACAGAAAGCAAGAGTTTAAGAAAAAATGGAACAACTCATTGTTTTCTGAGTTACATATCATTTCAAATGTAACATTATGCTTCACAAGGCCATAATAAAACACAATTTCAAACAAAATTTCAAACAAAATAAAACATGTAACTGTTAGCATCCATCTTCAAAAAGAGAAATAAGTGAACATACCAGGGGTGGGAGGAGCCAAGGAGATGGTGGAAGGGTGTCTGGGTCAGGGTGAGAGGTTGATGCATGCAACTGAGCAGGCATCCGTGGGGGGAGTGATGGAGCAGGGTGTGTGTGTGGGGGGGGGTGTTAGTATGCACAAACCGTGGACAAGAGGTGGGAGGACTACATTCACAACATACGGCTACACAGTAAGTCATGAGACATCTTTGTGTAGAGGTGATGACATGAGTGGTGCAAAGAGCTGCCATATTGCTTTTCATAATGTCACTCAAGAAAGTCCATAAGAAATCTGGAACAGCAGGGTGTTTATTGGAATTTCAGTGTGGACGCAGATGCACCACATTCATCTTTTCCATGAAGTGCAACAAAAGAAAAAACATACATAACTACACATTTTCTGTGCATTAGAATTCAGAGTCCTTGTACATGGAGATTTGTTTGAAGTAGCAACCTTGAAGATCTCAGTTTTGGTTGTCTTTGGCTGGTCCTATGATGATCGGAGTAAAAAGTTAGGATGTTTTTTTAACCTCAATAGCCCAATATATAGGACTTTAAAAAAAAAAAAGGAGGACAACATTTTTTGTCATAAAGAGGTTCTTATGTTTTTATAAAACAAAAAAAAAAGTTGGTCTACATGTGGCACCAAAATCGACTAAAACCCAAGGTTGTTCACAGGATCTTCAATGATTAACCGTAATGGATCTTTTTATTGTTTTTTGTTGTTTTTAACCGGCTGACAAATGTCTTCCAAGTGATGTACAGTCTTGTGATTTTTCTCAGGTCATGTTAACTCAACACCCAGTCAGTAACATAAGTCTGTGACATCATACAGATAGGTGAAGATTAACTCTGTCTGTAACAATATAAGAATACTGCAAATGCTTTAGCCGTCATTGCAGGGCCAAACGGTCAAGCACACTTCAATGAACTCAACTTTGGCAAAAGACACTTAACAGAGTTTTAATTTAACTGAAAATCTTTGACAACTTTAAATGAAAAATAAAGTTCTTACAGAGAAAAGAACAGAAAAGGGTCTGCAAACATTTTTGATTTTCAACATGTCGGAGCCTGAATTTTCAGTTACCAGAATCCAAATTGACGAGTTTTTCTCATAGTGCATCTTTAGAATTAATACATGAATGAGTAATGTGTTCTGAAACCAGTGTAGAACATTATTCATCCCAAGTTTACAGCCAACATGATATATGTGCATTCATAACAAAACAAGCGAGTGCAGTATTTTCCTAAACTAGAATATCTCGTCACCAGGCAGTTTACATTCTCGTCTCTACATTAATGATTGTTTTTCTCCATCTTTGGATCTTGGACTCGGTGTTGATTTCATTGAAATTATTTACAAACTTACATCAATTTTCATCGCGGAAAGTGCTGTGAGGGTTTTGGACTAACTTAATTTAGCACTTTGTAAACAGCAAAGCAAGAACTAGTGAAGGGAAGATTAGAAAGATTCATCATCTATACTCAATACTATGAATACGCTATGACATCTTACAGTCCTCTTTGCCCTTGCCTTTGCCTTTCTTGCTGCCCTTCCTTGAATTTCTGCCTGTCTGCACTGACTCTGTGTTGCTTGACACTAGGTCCCAACTCTTGAGTGAAACTGAATCTTCTTCCTTTAACTCATGCTGAACAGCATCTAATCCTTCCTCTAAAGGTAGAGACGTGGCCTGGTTAAGTTTCTCTGAAACAACGCCAACTTTTAATACCTTTCCTTTCTCTGTAACACGCCTGGGCTCCTCTGTCACGCCTACTTCTTCCAGAATGTTCACCTGCTCCTCTACCAGATTTTCAGAGGAAGCATCCCCGTGAACCCAAGAGTTTTGGGTGTCTTGACTTACAGCGTCCGACTCTTCATGTCGCTTATCTACTCGGTGACCTCCCTCACCTGGATCAGTATTTTCCATTAAATCAATATTGCTTTGGGACAGATCTAAACTTCCCTTGTGGCTTTCCTTTGACAAGATTTCAACGCCCTCTACTATTGCTATCTGTTTGGGATCTTCCGACAGATTCATTGCGACAGCGTCTTCCATCTCTAATTCATCAAAATCAAAAGACTGTCCTTCTTCGTCTACATCACCCTCGTCATCACTGTCCAGCAGTGTGAGTTCAGATGATACCTCGGACCTCTGATAATCCTCAGACTTGTCTTTCAGGGGTTCATGCCGTTGCTCCATCAGAGGGCAGAAGGGCGTCTCACTTTGTTGATCGTCATCAATGTCTGTACGTTCTGGATCTTCTTCAACGACGGACTCTTCGGTATTGTGGTCCTGTTTGATAGAGGAACTGATTTCAGTACCTTCTTTTGGAGAATCTGGTGAATCCAACATGTCAATCGTGTTGATCTCTTCTGTTGCAGAAGACAGTTCAGCGTGTGATTCATCAGTCAGCTCTGCAAACTCTGACGTCTTGTTTTGTTCTTCATCTAAACCTTCGGACTGAACTACAGCTTCCAAAGGACTCTCTTCAGTGTCTGATGCATCATTGATTTTGTCATTTGGAGAGCTGTCTGGTTCAACTAAACCCTCAGCTTCTCGTAAGTCTCCATTCAGCTCCTCCTCTTCTGTCCTGTCTGGTACTAGCTCTGAATGACCAGCATCAAGAGTGGGAGGAGGAGATTCTCCTTCAGTCTCTGGGCCCTCGTACTCCACGACCGTCTGAGTTTCATCCTCAGAATCTCTTTCAGAAATATCGATGGGAGTGTTGTCACTGCACGAGTCCATGTCTGCAGTCTCTGATAGCAGCTCTGAAGGCTGCTCTGACTCAGACAAGCTTTGTTGACCATCGTACAGACCATCGTAAAGGCCATCGGTGGAGGTCGAGTACACCATGGAACCACTATCAGGACTGTTGGTGGATTCAGATTCATCAGGAGCAGCGTCACTGTGGCCTGGGACATGGGCGTCACCTTCACTGTTTTCCTCATCGTTTGTTTCAGATTTGATTTCATTGATAGAACCCACTTCACTCTCTGCACTGTCAACAGCTTCGGACTCGGTGTGGATGACGCTGCTGTTAGTGGAGATCTCTATATCACTGTTGCCTTCGCTTGAAGTACACCTCTTGGCAGGATACTCAATGCTCTCTGCGTTTATGGAGTCTTCAAGATCAGACGTACTGAAACTGGTTTCTGACCCCGGATTAAATGTAGATTCTTCTTCTACTTCGGATGTTTCCAAAGCTTGTTCCATGTCATCTTCATCCTTGATTGAATCTCTTCTGGATTCCTTAGATGGATATTCTTCATGAGAGAAGGTTTCAATGGCTGCCACTGCCTCTACTGGGTTTACCATTTCAGAGTCCAAATTTTGATCCTTGTTCTTTTCATCTGTATCATGATCCGCTCTAGCTTCAATGGTTTCACCAGTATCAATTTCTTTCACTTCTTCTATGTTCTCTGTTTCTGTAACATTTAGCATTTCACTGTTTTCTACACTGGAAGTACAATCCTTGGCATCATCCTCAGTGATTTCAGCATCACTGGAGATTTCCCCTGTATCAGGAGTACTGAGATTGCTTTCTGGAACAGGGCTTGTTCTAGATCGCATTTCTTCCACCTTCTCTTCCAATTTCTGTTCCTCACCTTGCTCATTCTTTTCGGGATCTGTTTCAGATTCTTTTTCTGGGTCTGTTTCAGATTCCTTTCCAGAGTCTGCTTCAGTTTCCTTAAGAATATCAGCATGAGGAAAGGTCTCAGTGGTTGCTGTAACCGGTACTGTTTTTGTTGTTTCAGTTTCCAAGCTGTCTTGCTCGTTCTTTTCATCACTAACACGATCGCTAAACCCCTGTGGGGCTTCAATGGATCCACAAGACGCCAATGCTTCGACTTCTTTCAACTTTTCTGTTTCCAAAGTTTGTTCCTTGCAGTGTTCATCTGTAACTGGATCCATTTGGGATTCTTTTGAAATGTCATTACTGTGTACGGCTTCAACGGGTTTTACCACTTGTACTCCTCCAGCTACATCTTTCTGTTTTTGCTTGTCCTGCTTATTCTTCACTTGATTCCCCTTTAATTCCTTGAGGGTTTCAGTGACGGGCCAACAGCAGAACCTGGCATTGATTGGTCCATTATCTTTTGTAGCCGGTTGCATTCCTTTTTCTGTTTTGCCCTTTTCCTTTGGTTGGTTGTTATCCTCATTGTTTCCAACTTTTTTTTTGCCTTTCCTCTTCTTTTTCTTTTTCTTTCCTGAAGCAGCAGCGCCCTGAGCCTGACTTGGCATTTCCTCTTCTTCATCATTATCAACCTTCTTGGTGTCATCCTGCTCTTGTTGAGGTTCAGAGTTTGGTAGAGATGGGACGGACTCATCGGGACAATTTTCTTTTGTAACATCTTGTGTGACTTTTTGCTGAGGACACGATTCTGTATTAGTCAAATTGCATTCCTCAACATTGTTTTTTTGCTTATCTTGAGTGTTGTCTGTCACTTGGTTACTTGTCTTTGCCATATCTCCAACCACTGCTGTTTTAGATTCTTTGACTTTTATGTCTCTCTTGCTGCAGACACTTTCTTGAGCAGTATTACAGACTGTATCGGAGCCCAAAGGATTCACTTTCACTTCTTCAAACATGTCTTGATGCTGCTCCAGATCCACATCTTCATCTCCTCTAGTTCTCAACTGAGTCTCCTTTGTGTTGCCTGAGAGATCATGAAGAACACACGATGATGGAGCGCCAAAATATGTTGACTTTAGACATGATTTTCAAAACTGCAATCTTCAGAAGGAAAAGGATCAGCAGGATTCAAGATCGGGAAGAACCCCCGATTGATTTGTTGGCAAAGACAAGCGAAGAGCCAAGATGACCAAGGGAAGCGAAGGAGAAACAAGAAGAAGAAAGTAGCGGGGAACATCGAAAGGAAGTACTTGAGCTCCAATCAGAACTTATTGGTAGAAGTTGCATCGATGAAAAAGGACAGCATAAAAGTGAAACCATTAGTAATGAAGACATAGCCATGCAGAGTTTGTGAGTGCAATCTAAGTTTCTACGAGACAGCAGGCTGAAGGTGGGATACTGCTAAAAGGCTAACAGTGGCAGTTCTTCACATTTGTCTTGTCAAAAATGTGTACATTGGATTACAGTCTATGCAGCTCACCCAGAAAATCTCTGGACATTTTCAAGAGTTGTCTGTATGTGTGAAAGAACTCCATCACTCACTACTTTACAACTTTTCTTAATTGCAGGAAGCGCTCACAGGTCCACTGGTTGTACTGACAATTATTTAAAAAAAACAAATCAAAACAAGGGTTAAGAATTTCCCTAAATTAGCTGCGTACTGTAAAGTGTAGGTAAAGTTACTCAAACAGAACGTTGCAGATTGAAACACATTTGGTGTGCAAGTATTCATATGCAACAGTATGGTTAAATGATGAGAGTTTGTTTTCTTTCATATTGTCTTTGGACAACAAGGGGGCTCTGTGGTAAAGGATAGACTTTTCCAATTTACCATTGGTTGTGTTTACTAGCTGCGTACTGTAAAGTGTAGGTAAAGTTACTCAAACAGAACGTTGCAGATTGAAACACATTTGGTGTGCAAGTATTCATATGCAACAGTATGGTTAAATGATGAGAGTTTGTTTTCTTTCATATTGTCTTTGGACAACAAGGGGGCTCTGTGGTAAAGGATAGACTTTTCCAATTTACCATTGGTTGTGTTTACAATACAAAAAAAAGATTACCCCAAAAATTCTTGACCCAGGGACCTATCCAGGGAGAGGGGTTGCAAATTAGCCACGACTAGGATCCTGTCGACATCTACTTTGTATTTTACTGAAAACTTAAAAGATGAAAACCTCCAGGAAAAGCTTCCCAACAGACCTTGTTTTTTCTCGTTTTTCTGTTTTTAATTTGAAGAATATTGTGAAGTATTGCCACAGTTAACCTTTTCATGTCAGTGCAAATCAGAGTTGAATTAGTACTGGGGCGGTTCAGGAGCACAACTTCTGTATGAAGACTTAAAAATAAAACCAACTGTTTGAAAATTCAGACAGCAACTGAAGAAGAGCTGCTTGCGTACATTTAGGATCACTTAACCAGTCAATGTTTTGGAATCAAAGTCTTCATACAGTTTTATGCTGAGCCATGCAGTTAGAAGTTTATATGTTGGGTTTTACCAAGCATGCTGTTCCCCTCCGCCGGTGTCTGTGAATCCTGAGCCGATGGGGAAGAGGGATCTTCACTGGGGGAGCCATCGACTTGTGTCTCACCGATGTCACCATTTATGTTTAGATCAGGTCCCAATACTATTCCATGTTTCTAGATGAGATAAAGAGTCAAACATTAGCTCCATGTATTACACAGTTTGAATATAATTAAAGATGATGTGTAGTCAGTATGCTTGAAAAAACAGGAAGTGAAGTTTGCCTTCTGAATCCACACACACACACACACACACACACACACCAGGATGAAATAAGCATCAACACTCTGAATACCTTTAAAATGTCTTTCAGCGTGACCACCTCTTCTCTGAGCTCATCTCGCTCGATGCGGATTGCGTCTGTGTACTCTTTCTGTCGCTCTAAGGCCTGAGCAGAGCCCCCAAGTGGCAGAGTGAAAAAGTGGTGCACAAGAGGTGAAAAGAAGGGAAAAGTAAAAGCTGGCATTCAGTTTCATGCAAAGGAGATGATAAAAGTTCATGTCAGAAATTGAGAACGCTAAATGTTATAAAAGTATTATAACTGAATTTTTGGACCAGGGCTCACAGGCCGTACCCCAATTTTTTTATCCTTCCATTCCACGGTCTCCTGCAGGTCAGATATTTCTCTAACAAAACCCTCCTGTTTCATACGCAGCTGACGGATCTCCTAAACAGCAGGAAAGGGAAATAGCAGTTTAAGGAAATAATAAAGAGAAGGTCAGAAGAAAAGGAGGAGTGAAGGTATATTTATGAAGTGTAAAGGGTGTCAAATGCAGCCCAACATGCAGCCTTTCTTTGAGACTGAGTTAAATTATTTTCCTAATATCTGTGTTGCTTTATTTCTGCACCTTGTTTCACACGCTTAGTGATGCATTCACACTGGGGAGTGATACTCACGTTTAGCAACTCTTCACTCTGTTTTAGGGTCTCTTTCATTTCATTGAACTGGAACTGAAGCACAGAGTGGGCATGTTTCTCTCGCTCAAAGTCCTGTTAGGGAACAAAAAGATAGTTTGAGGATAAACTACTCCTTTATATTTAACTTGAACATCTTTCTCAACTACAGGAAACACATGGCATCACGTAAAATGTACATGCAAATAAAACGTTCGATCTTACAACCAGTAATATATTCATGATCAACTGCTTTAGTAAATATATGTGAAGTCAAAATAAAGCATCATCGGAGAGCAGATAGTGTTAGGTTGTGCCCTATGTAAGGCGGCTATAGTCCTCCAAGCAGGTGGCCCGGGTTCAGGCTCTCTCTCTCTCTAAGCCTGAATAAAAAACAAAGCATCATCTGATGGTTAACTAAAGGCCTAACTACAGAGTAATAACGCTGAATCTTTGTACAACCTGAAACTCTCCAAAATCTTTGATGTATTCAAGGGGTTTGGGAAAATGGAAACATCCACTACTTAAAATCTCACACAAGTGTATAAATATGAAAGAGCATTTTGCACTGTCTGTACAGCCAAGTTAAAGTCCTATGACGTGTTTTACTTCCTGTGGGTAAACAGACCTTACAGGTAATAAATAAAAAAACTCAGAATAACTGTAGTTTTAGGTTGAACAATCAACGTCTGCTGCACCTTGACTTTTTCATCATATCCCCGGCGTGACTCTGAAAGCAGTTCCTCGAGCTCCATGAGTGAGTCCTTGAGCGTGTCCACCTGGTACATCAGGTTGTTTTTCTCATTATCCAGCTGGGCATTAGATACCATAGCCTTACGGTACTTCTCCTCCACTTCTGCTAACGTGTCCTAAAGTCATTACGGATAGGGAATAAAGAAAAGTTGGATTCAGAGTGGCTCAGAAACATTATTAAAAAAACTGTCACATGTCCTTTGTCAGAAAGTATGGACAGCCTGAAGTATATGTTTGGAGTAATAAGTGGATGCAGGTTGAAGGGATGCAGACGATGCAAGAAAGTACTTAAAGGTCAAACATATACTTAAATATATCCTATCACTCTAAAAAGGAATGAATATGGGAAATCAGGGTAAATAAATGTAGGCTTCAGGAACAAACAGCTGCTACAGAAACATGCAGGTGCAGATTTTGCAGCTTTGGATTGCAGCTTTGAACACAAGCAAAAAAAATATCTTTGCAACACAAAATGAATGAAAATGTTCTTGCATCTAAGCCTCACAAATGTAAATGTTTGTCAGTAGAGGTGGGAAAAAAAATCGTAATGTAAAAATTCTAATCTTGTGAGATTTTAAATTAATTCCTAAGTTCCCAAAATCATTTTATTTATTATCATGACCCCAAGAAACAAAATGGAATCGTGAGACACCCAAAGAATCCCTGCCCTATTTGTCAGTAATATGTAGAAGTCTGGAGCACCAGTAATCTGCCCTGTGGAGCCTCACGACAGAAACCATGCCAAGGGCAAAACGGAGGCTCAAAGGCTGTTTAGATGGTCAGCCAAATTAATAATGTAAACTGTGAGTAATATTGCTCTAATTAAGAACATACACAAAGTAGTGATTTAATAACAAAATAAAGTTACTCAAGTTACCTTTGCTCTTGCATTAATATAAGGACCAAATAGGTCATGCAAAGTGATTACCTGTTTTATATTCAGAATAACATTCACCGTTTCTAGTTAAATGATTTATACAGGAAAAGGTTAGAGAACTTTAAATTCTAACTATCCATCAGTTCATCATATCATTGATTCCTTGGTTAATCATATTTTTCTAGACTTGTCAAACTGGGAGAAACACTCCTACAGTAACCACAGGAAGTTAGACACACAGACATATTAGTTGGTACTGAGTCCAGGGTTCAGGGAGGGTGTCAGGCTTATACCTTGACTTCTTTAAGGTTCTGCGTGTACTTGGTTTCCACATCCTGTATCTGATCCTTCAGTTCATGAATCTCCTGAAGATGAAGAGGAGCAGCAGCAGCAGCAGCAGCAGCAGCGAGCAGAGAAAAGCAGCGTGACAGCATCAGACACAGGGTCATAGATTGTTTTGTGAGCATGCAATGAGAAACAGAAGTGTTTGCAGAAGGAATGAAACATGGAAGAACAACACAAAACTTCTTAGAAGAGCTTCTTTTTTTTACCTTAATCTATTTTATTAATTATTTGTTTTCAGTGAGACCCATTTTCTGTGGTTTCATGAAGCATTTCGATGGGAGGAAATACATTTTACAACACTATATCTGTCTCCTCATGAGTGTTGAAACTAAATTAATCTGACACCAAAGAGAAGACAAACTTTCTGTGATTGAAATGGTGGAAAAACTCACAATGTCTGAGGCTGAGATGACTGATGATTTTGGGTCAAACACTGAACTAAATTTAAAAAAAGAATAAGCTGAAATCTTAATCTGACAAACAGTGTTGAATTTTAAGTGAATATTCCACAAAACTCAGACATTAGATTTATGAAGTGAGTAATAATTAGAAGTTTGGGCTAATAATAATTAGCAGTAATTTCTTGTTTCCATGATGATTTTATCTAAATGATCCAAATTTAAATGATGATAACACCAAATAATATCCAGTAGAAAACAATTGTTCAAGAGGAATGGTCTTCTCTGTTCACAGGACGCCGTGTGTCTTCAGCATTACCTTGATTTCTCGTAAAGACGTCTCTGCATCGACAGTAATGGCCGTCTCCCCGCTGCCTCTCCGCGAGGACGATCCGCCTAACGAGGTGAGGGTCCCTGCAGTTAAGGCAGAAGCTGCTCGAGATCCCTGAGGAGGAAAAAACAAGTCCTATAAATGCTCTTTGGGGATTTTTAAAGCACATTCAAGTAAAAATGAATCTTCTATCATTGTTTTCACAAGTCATTACATTACTGTGTGAGAGACACAAAGCTGATTAAAGAACATTGAAGTTGTAAGAGAGAGGCAGTGGTGGGCTGGCATCTTCTTTGTTCTGCAAGTTGAAATGTATGTTTTTGTCACTGGAGTCTGGTGGCTCTGAAGAGCGCAATCTAACAGCTGTTGCCAACAGGATTATGTTGCAGCCATTGCAGTCTGATTCTCCAGCAATCTGCCAGATTATATCTGACTTTTAGCAACATTCAGACATCATCAACCAATAATATGAAGATTGGTTTAAGGTTTAAAACACCTGCTGTCCTTTATTTGTTTTAAATCTACAATGAAAACTTGGAGGCAGATTCTACAGGATATAGATAATTTTGGCTCGACTGCTTGAACAGCTGACTCCCAGATTTGACACATGGATGTTTGTTCTGCTGACTGAATTCCCTTTTTAGTCATTTTTAGCGTCTTTAATTAATGTAATGTGTTCAGCTCACCTTCTCCAGATAATCTCTGTCCTCCACCTGTTGAGAAATATAAAACACAGTCAGAACAAGCAGAGGATGATGATGAAGGGGCCACAGGGACGAGAAGAAGTAGTGAGTGAGGAAGGATGGAAGCAGTTTCCAAAAATCACGGCTCAGCAGTGATAAGATGAAGCCACCAAAAGAAGAAAACCATTCTTATTTCTGCTCATGAAGATATCAATAAAGGCATACGTTTGTTCTTATTTGCCACAGCGTGCAAATAATTAGTACAAGGTGTGAAAAGTCACTCAGAAATAAAACCTCCAAACTTAACAGGTTAAAACTCAGCCTGAGACAGCTGCTCAATCCACATTATGTTAAGTGTTAGCAATAGTGCTTCCAAAAGCAGACCACTCAAAGTTATCACTCCCTGCCACACACAAAAAACAAACTGGTAGTATCTGCAGTCAACACACCAATTAGCCTCAGACACAAGCAGTTATTTATTAGCGCTCCTTGTAGGGTGACGTCCACAAAAAGGAAGGACCAGGCAGCCAAAAAGAAAAGCAGAATTCAGCTCACATCACGACTTCCTCGCCGTCCTTCGGGTGCAAAGCGACTCACGTCAGAAAAGTCAGGAATAGTAACATCGTCCAGGTCCCTGGGGAGGCCACTGCTACTGGCCGCACTCCTCAAAAAACTGGCAACAGAGCCGCAGTTGTCCTATATCGGCCACCAGTGGGCGACACAGAACAACAAACAACACATCAGAGAGTTAAAAAGTCAAGTATCTGACCAGCATCAAGGCAGGAACATCCATCCTATGAGCACAGATTCATGGTATTCAGGTAGATAGATATTGACCCACAGTCAGTCATAGAGTTCTCTGTCAATCCATGGCTTCATAAGTTAGTCAGCGTTGAAATACACGAGTACAAAAATCTAAATGATGTATTCAGAGTGTACTGCTTTGTCTCGTGATTAAAAAGTCAATGAACATCTCAATCCAGAAATATATATTTTAGAAATGTTTGATGTGAATGTCATCCTCAACTTAAATGCAACACTTGCACTTCACAGAAACATTTGAGGAAAATGTTGTGATTTTCTTAACCTCAGTGTTGCTTATGATCATGAAAATGTAAAGAAATCTTTAAAACCCTGTGATAGTCCAGTACAGGTCCAACAAGAAATACCTGCCTGTACTGTTCAGAAAGAGCAAATAATGTTTGCTTCTTCAAACTATTGTAACTCTGAGTCACTGGACAGCCAGAATAAACACGGTTTAATTATATATCAACGTCCTTGACTGTTGGACATGAATCAGATATCAAATATTTTTGCTGCAAGAGCCGGATGGCAAATCATTACGTACACCTTTGTGGAAATTCAGGAGTTCCAAAGAAAACAAGAAATAAGAAAATTAACAAGAGAAAACTTGAGCAAATATTTGTACATGTGGACAGAAAATAAAAAATGTATTTCGGCTACTACATATCACTTTATAGTAGAGCCCGACCGATTTTTGGGGCAGCCGATAATACCGGCCGATATTAGCATATCCAGTGATTATCGTATCAGCTAATTTTATCGCAGATATGAGCCGATATTATGAGATTTATTCACCAGTCAAATATAGTTTCATTAGAGTTTCATTGTATTACAGTAGCAGTTCTCTTTCTGGATGTCAAGAGCAGAGTGTCTATATGGATTAGAGCAAGCATCATCACTCTCCAGAGTGTCAAGCGGTGATGCAGGTACATGCACAGTTACTTTCCAGTTGAGTGACCATTATATATCTTTCCCGCTCGTGTATTGGGGAGTTAAGGCTCACCACTGGACTTGTGCGGGCCGAATTGGCCCTGGAGGAGACTCTGGAACCGGAGCTGCGATAACTAGAGTACTCTACAGGCTGAGGAGAAAACACACTGTTACATATCTATAGTCAGGAGGAGGCAAGCAGGCATGCACACACGCACACAGACACACTCTAACTAATCGCATGCTTACCACTATGTGGAATCACCAGGTGCTTGATTCATAATGTGAATTCCTGTTTGACCATCTCTCAGAAACTGAAGATATTTGATTAAGAACTGGACTTCAATCCGTTTCATAGACTGAATATAAAAAGTGCATGTAGCCTCTGAGTAAAATGCTAAGCTAAGTGCCTAAAGCCTGCATTCTCTCTGTTGACAAGCAGGGCTGACTCCACTGCTAGCAAAAACAGTCTGATGGCTCGGCCTACGAGAACTGTAGCCTCCTTCTCAGTTTCCTCAATCAACATTTTCCCTACAAGTTTACGGCTTCAATCTCTTGTCTGAAGTCTTCTTTGATACACCATGTTGCTCATTTGGAAAAGTGTGTTCAGTTAATATTTAAGTTATCTTGAAAAGAGGATGCACTTCTCTAACAAAGCTAGCACTTGTCTTTCCAGCTGCATCCTGTTCTCTTAATACAGTCACTTTTGGCCCCAAAAAAAACAGAAACAACATACCGACAGCCAAAATTCCAAATAAAAAAGTTATAACTGTATTCAGGAAACCATTGGGAGACATCGCAGTGGCTAAATCTACTTCTAATATTGAATCCAAAACAACCCTCATGCACCAGCACAAACACTCGAGTGACTCAATATCCTGAGAAAGCGCCGTGTTAGAAAACAAACAAAATCAAACTTCACACAGAGCCCATTGTTTGATTTCACAACAGATTACAATATGAAATCTTCTTATGATTAATTAGTAGAATTAACAACCAAAAAAACACCTTCACACGTGTCCACTCTCATATGGGGCAAACAAGCAATTCCAAGAAAATCTTACATGGGAGGTGGAGCCAGCAACTCGCCGTGACCCGCTGCAGAGACTGTCCTCGTATAAGGAGCTCTGCGCAAACACACACACACACACACACACAAACACACAAAGTTAGCAGATTGCTCATTCACCAGCAACAGGACTGAGAATAAAAATAGGGATTTTAGTTCATGCTTGTCTATCTAATAAGGGCAACAACACACCCTAAGATTGGTGCCTGATCTGTGGGTCCATTCAGAACTAATATATGCAGCGAGTGGCTGACCTCTATGTTAAGTGAGTTTAAAAGTGAGTTAATCGGGAAGCCCTTTATTTAATCATCAAATCCTTTTGCTCTCCAGATAAACAAGCTCAGTTTAAGGTGTCCTTACAAACACTTGAGTGAGTGGTTATTACAGGTGTTATATAACACTGTGTGGAAGTTACAGAGTGGAAAAGCTGAATGAAACCAACCCTACGATAGAGCTGCTGGGAGACCTGACTGAGTGACCTGCAGAACTGCAACACAGAATGAAGTCAGAAGGAGTAAGAATGAGGTTTACAAATCACACGGTTTTAAAACATGGTAATGGACAATGACTGGCTCTCTTTCATCCGGTCACTCTCACCAGAAATATGAAGGTCAACAGAGTTCAGAGTTTTTACCCTGAATTTGTCTCCAAGCCGTTTACTCATATGCACTCCTGATCTAGTTGTTCACACATGCACCTCACAGCAGGAGACTAAAAAAAAGAAAGACGCTGGAGTGGCAGATGAAGCAACAGAGTCCGCTATATTTTATTTTTATAAAGCAGCAGTTTAATTAAATGCCGATAGCGTGCACACAGTCTATGGTCATGCACCGATCGCAGGGAATACAGGTCACCACCCCCTCCCACTCGCTCGAGGTGAATTTTCCTGATAATATCCTGCTGCTTTCTCACATCAGCTCACTCCGACTTTCTGCAGAATAAACCCTAGTGGGGCTGGAAGGAGAAACTCTTGGATAAAGTCCAGGTGAAAAATGTCGACTGTTTGCGTTCACACATGCAGCTCATCCCGAAAAACTTTTTCAGGAGTTTTGTGCAAGTGTGAAGTGAACAAGTCCATACAGACCTGTAACCATTCAAAGTTGAACCTGGGTTCCTGGAGGAGGACAGACCATTCAACTTGTACAAGTCAGAGGAAGCATAAGAGGCCTGAGAGGGCGAGAGGGGAAGCAGGAGGTGAGAGTAATGAGCCAAGAGAAGGAGCGAGGTGGAGTCAGATGGGAAGTTCAGAAATATTTTAATTCATCCAATTTTATCCCTGCAATGGGTAGTTTGCATCTGATAGCAAAATAAAAAAACCTTCAGTATGATTATGTAGAAATACACACTCATGAACTCATGCACAAACCAGACACAGATACTTCATGACATCTTCAAATAAACCCAGTCCTACTATTTTCCTCTTTAGACTAACATAAAAAAAAAAGAATTTCTTCATTATTTTTCTTCTGGTGGCATTTATGATAAAAAAAACTAAAAAAACTGTGATCACTGCAAAATGCCCCTGATCAAAGTATGTCCACTGTAAGTGTTTGTTGATCCACATGCCTGAAAACATTATACATGAAGGAAACTCAGAAACCCCCACAGAGAAAGACCTTTGATCTAAAGTATGGACCTTTATTTTAACAAAGAGTCTTTACACTGTTTGCTTCTCCTTTGATGAAATGTTAATATGACCCTGCAGAACAAGCTACTTAATTGTCTGCCACTTTTAATGCTGATGTGAGTAACAACATTCTGGTGCTTGATCCAGACTCACCACTCAAACACTGAAGCCACAGAATAAAATTGAACAGCTGATAGCTGTAGAGACGCAACACCTGTGCTCTGCGAGGTCATGTCAGGTTTTATGGAAGTAGAGGGCAACGTTACGGCTGTTGTGATAAAAAGTTTAAAATGTATCTTACCGTATCAAAAGGAGTTTGAATCTCTGTATGGACCCTTCTGAGGTGTTGTTTAAAACTTCGACTAACACATTTCAGCCTCTCAGAAAACCCAAAGCCTTTTCAGTGGACGTACTTTGATCAGACAGACCTGGCTGCAGGGATTACTTCACTACCTTAAAGCCCGTTTCAGAAAACAATCTACTGGAAGAACTCCAAAATGTTTGCACCTATAAGTTATTAAGGAATGTTTTTTTTTTTTTTAAATGGGGCCAAATTTATAAAACAAAAGGAGTACCCTTTTTAAAATGCCAAACCCTGCACTGTATGATGATTTATTCAAGGAAAAGTCCAATCATGCACAGATATTTATCTGAGAGTCATGGTGGAAGCGACTTGTTTATAATGTGTAGAACTACTATGCTTTTTCTGCATGCTCGCACAACCTCGACTACACTACACTGCACAGGGACTTCACAAAAGCAAAAATCTTGATGAGATTCAATTCAGAAAATACATGCACTAAATGTTTTGTTTGCACAAGACTAAACTGCTTGAAGCTCACTACATGCCTCAATAAAGACGGTATTTCAGTTCGTTCATTCAATACAGAATATTGTCAGGCACTTATTTAAAAACTCTTCCTGTTAATAAACACAACTTCAGGCTGTAAGACAAGTGCACACCACGGGCCATTAGTGGTATAAGAAAACACCCACCGGCTGCAGGTCTAATCTGGAGCCACGAGTCAGCCGACTGTCATCACTTAGTCTGGAGCTCTGAGAGTCAAACACAAACAGCACGTCATCCTCATTACATCCATCTGACAGCACACAGCCTTTCCTATTCAACTAAGAGACACGACACGTGCTGCGAGAGGATAACACGTAGATACTTTGAGGAGGTGCAGTTTAAAAAGTCAGAGGTAGAAGTCAATAAATGAAATCAAATATCCATGATTTCAAGCCATGCATGATCAGCATTGTTCCATCAATTACATTTCATATTTCATGTTATTTTCATGCATTATTTATTAAGGCCCTAGCACTGACAACGGAGCGAAGACCCTATTAGAACCCAAGTAATTATTATTATTATTATTAATATAGTTTTTATTATTGTTTCTGCCTCTTTGCCAATTTGGGTGAGTCCTCAGGTATGTACAGGCTTACAAAAATGTTTTCCGACACGTCAGGTCTGGCGAGAAATCTGATATTTTGGTGGAAAGGCCTCCACATAGAGGTTACTTTCACCTACATGCATGAAATTCGTTACGACTACTGACCATGTAAGGACCTACAAAAAAAACTTCTTGCACTCATGCGAAAAGCCCAACAGAAAGTAAGCTGATTTCATTTTATTTCAAATTAAATGCTGTTTATTTATCTGATCACTGTATAAGAAGGGTACATATTTATCCTTAAACTTTAATGTCTATGAAGCCTTTACATTATTTAACATATCTCATTTCTTAAATAAAGTATGAGACAATCCTGTTGTTTCATAATGCTTGTTGTGTTTCATTTTTTCTTGCAGGTGATTAAATAGTTTTTTTTTCCAATTTACAAGTCTGCGCAAATTTGTAAAAATTATCATTATTCAGATGATCTTTCAACCTCATGCAACAAATATCAGGTTTCTCAATTTAAGTTGGACCTAAAACATTTTTTCCAGTTTGCCTGTAAAATAAAGGTTTGCTTCGCCTTGTTTTATTGTTTTGAGTAAAATTCCACAAAATGCCGGGTGTCCAGTTGATCAAACTGAAGTTTAACGATAACCACACAGCAGCTGATAAACAACGAGGATCAGAGGGGGCCGACACGCACCGTGAGGTCTAGTCTGGAGGAGCGAGACACTCTGCTCTCATCGCTGAGCCTCGAGCTCTGACAGGAGGAGGAAGAGGAGGGTCATCATGAGTGACAGGTTAAAGGTTGTTTCAAACTGTTCAAGCACTCACATCAATCAGATGAACACACGGCTACTAACCCTGCTGGATATGACACTGTAATCATCATCATAGCCGTTCCTCTGTGAACAAAGAACACGAGTGAGAAACACTGACACCATTTTTCTATGCAGGCGCCTTCTGCATGTGACGGTTCATTCTTTACATACATCTTTGTCTTTGTGTTTATGCTTCTTCTTTTTCTTTGACTTCTTACTCAAGTTTGAGGAGGAGCCCTTAGAGCGAGTGACAGAAGAGGAAGAACAGTGAAGAGTGAAAACAATCAGGAAAAATCTCTCTCAGCCTCAAACAGGAAAGCATAATATACCTCATTTGTTTATTGTACAGCACACATGCAAAACAGGCAAAGTCATACCCATCCACTTTAAAACAAAGGGGAGAACGTACAGTAGCCTGTTTGTCTCAAAAGGAAAGTCGATACCTGAAACCTGCATTCTCTCTGATGGCCAGCAGGGGGCCTTTCTATTGAATGCCTTAAGAATATGGCCTTACTTATCTCCTGATTTATAACCTCAGTAAACATTTTCCCTCTCATTTTAAGATCTCAGTAGCTGCTGTTAAGTCTTCTTAAATATAGAATGATTTATATTTGCTTAACGATGGTTCCACTTCAGGTAAAATAGATAATAAAGCAGATTACAATTAAGGGCATCACTAACTGTGATCGACAATTTGCCACCGTAGCCGAGAAGGAAGAGGACGATGACGGAGGAAGCCAAGAAGAGAAAAAGAAAGAGTGACAAAGCAAGAAGCAGTGTCAGAGTGTTCCTCCCTGCAGATATTACTCAGATCAAATTGTGACATAAATAGGTAGGCTGTACTGTTATCAGTGTCATCGTTGTCTCATGTTTAGCAGCTTTACCGGGTGCAGAAAGTCACCTAAAGTTATGTCTCAGGCTTGCACACAAATAAACAAATCAATCAATCCATCTTAGGCCAAAAGTTTTCTCTATAAAAAAGGGACACACTAGAAGATTCATATTTGTGCAAAATCCTTTAATATAACTGAAGCACGTCAGTCCACATGTTTCTTTGGCTTCTCACAACCCCGCTCCTCTCCTTGTTAAGAAATGCACATTGACTGTGATGGGTAGTAGTGGGGGAGGCATGACAGCTCTGTGTTTCACTCGGAGACCTTCAGTCGGTGCCAAAGCACACCAAACTGAATTCCTACATTTTGTTGCTTTAAAGCCGTCTTTCACAAGCCAACAGGTGATGTCCTTATTTAAAGAAACACAGGCAGCACACAACACATTCATGCACAATGACTGTTCCCACTGGACTGACTGTAAAAGATACTAAAGGCCACAATGTGTTAACGTGCTGTTATATTACTGATTAATCAAACAAACGGAGTCAGATATTTAGGATTTCCTACGTCTCCAGGAATGATTAGTATGAACATTTTTTCCACATTACTGCACATAGAAATAGCATTTGGACATTTTAAGGAGTAACAGTGCCTTAAATACACTGCACAATGTGTTTTTGTTGGAGCGTGATGGCGCTCTGTAACACAATGTTCTTTCTGTGGAAATCTAACTGACTCCAAGCTGACTGTGTTCCTTCACAACAACCAAAACAAAACAAAGGGAAATGACCATAGAATCAAATAAAACTTGTCACGTGATTCCATATTCATGTGTTTTTTCCCTTCAAACTGCAGTAATTCAATCACAACATGTTTCATAAATGTTCCTCTTAGATCAGAAATTGAAGATGTAAAATAACAGGAAGATGCTTTCATCTTAAAATTGAATTTCACGCTGAACATTCAGCACCTCAACATGCTCAAAGAGAAATAGACTTAATTCATCACACAGCCAAGACACATTCACTTCATGCTTTGAAGACTTGAAAACTGGCTGTTAGTCCAACAACAACAGGTTAACACAAAGTGGCAGTCTTAAAACACATCCACAGTGTCATCAGGATCATCAGCCCTTACCCCTCCAGCAAAAGCACCGACTGCATCAAGATCCGACTGTGCAAAGAAACATAATAATATCATCACCAGGAAGCGCCACCCACACTATAACCAAGGACAGACACACTGCCTCCAACATAACCAAAGAGTTCAAGAAGACGAGGTGCTTCTTTGTGGAAAACAAAGGTTTTATAATATAAGTGATAAAAAAAAAAGAGGTTCAGAGAGAATTTGGAGTTTTCAAAGCATGTGCTGTTTGAGTGATACTGACCCTGACACTGCCCCGGCTTCCCACTGACATCCGCTCATCTTCGTCAGAGAGCTGTGTGAGAGAGTGAGACATTGAAATGGATGGTTAGAGTTTAGGAGATGGATCCAGTATGTGATGTAGGTCAACAGGTAGGAGGTTCTCCTGCTGCAAGGACACAAGGTTCAGTTGAGTTATGGAAACTGTGGATCTTTTTTTTTTTTTAGTGATCTGGATCATTTGGCTCAGCTCAGTGAAAAGAGCCGACCTCCAAACGGCTCGTCTTCTGGTACAATTCAGCTTCATGAAATCAGCCAAATGTATCAATGCGTTGACCTATGATTCCGCTTTCAAACGGGAGCGGACTCCCATCGTTCACATTAAAGAGCCGAAACATAGAGCCGGCCTCGCTCGTGACCAACACATCAATAGTTTGGTTTCCTTTTGACACTTTTGGAGAGAGATCTGATGTGCATGTTGTCTGTGACCTTCATTTCAATTAGTAAAAAGGGAGGAAAAAATCTAACAAAGTATGGGAGGAAAAGTACATAAAAATAAACAAATATAAAGAAAGCTGAAGTTTATAAGTATGTCGAGCTCATCCCAGTAAAGGCACAGTTCCCCTTTTATCAAATAACCTTTTACTCAACGTTTTATTTTGCTGTTAAGCCTTTTATACACATCCATCCATTCCATTATCTTTCACCACTTTTCCCTGTTCAGGGGTAACGGGGGCTGGAGCCGATCCCAGCTGTCATTGGGCGAGAGGCGGTGTTACATTCTGGACTGTTCTCCAGCCAATCACAGAGCAGACATATAGAGACAGACAACCAGCCACACTCACATTCACACCTACGGGCAATTTAGAGTCACCATTTAACCTAACGAGCATGTCTCTGGACTGTGGGAGGAAGCTGGAGTACCTGGGGGAATCCACGGTGGTGCAGTGGTTAGTGCTGTTACCTCACAGTGAGGAGGCTCCTGGTTTGAATCCCGGTCTGACAGGAGCCTCTCTGTGTGGAGTTTGCATGTTCTCCCCATTCATGTGTGGGTTCTCTCCGAGTACTCCGGCTTCCTCCCACAGTCCAAAGACATGCTCGTTAGGTTAGTTGGTGTTTTATAGCATTGATAGAAAAATAAATATCACAGATACATTTATTAGTCCTGAATAATCCAGGCAACATGTCAACCCGAAAGAGTTCAGTTTGCATAGAGAGCGAATGAAGGGGAACATCTAAACAGAAAATGATCAGAAAAGAGCAACATGTCTTAAGTTTGATAAGAACCACAGCTTTATCTAAAAGAAACCTGTTGCAAAAACTACACGTCAATTTTATGTTGTACAAATTGTTTAAAATAATCTAGACCTACTACTGACCTGAAGTTTACAAAGATAATTAGCTCCTCTCGGTTGTATTTCATGACAGACATTTTCATATTTTTCATGCACCATTTATAGATTTGTGGAGGCAAATGTGTTTTATCAAAACAAATGAATGATGAGAAACAGAGGAAGGGCTACAAACCGTTTGTGTAACTGAAGAACGTGAGTATCTCTCACTCTCCTCCTGGAAGAGGGAGAGGGGGAAGAGAGGAGGTGAAGGGTGAATGGGAGGCGAGAGACGTTAATGATCAATGTGACCGATGTATGAGGACGGTAAACACTGCTTGAAGTGCAGAGGGACCGAAGTGGTCCGTCTTCATACACATAAAGTGGAGTTAACTTCAACAGAAAAAATGCAAGTGTTCTATTCTGTACAAAATTATTTTTACATTTAAGACATCAATGTTTGGAAGTCATTGAAGGACCATAATAACTCAAGGACTGCACGCTGAAAGTCAACAATATAAAGACAGAGACTCATATGTTTAGCTGTGTCAGTGTTCACACACGCATGCAGGAGCAGCGGCAGGGAAGGCTGTTCACTTCACAGAACGAGTACGTCGGGTAGAGGTTCTGAATGTCGGATTGGATACATTTTCAATTAATTACCAAGCCCTAAAATGAAGTATTAATTTTATTCTATTCCATCATTTCAGCTTAAACATCTTGTTATTAGGTAGCAATGAACCTATGTTATACAGTAAGCTCTTCTTCTTGTGTCACTGTGAATCAAAGTGTACAGCCAACCTGCATCAAACACATGGAGACAGCTTTAACAGAACAGTAAGGGGCACACTTGTTTACAGAAACAGCTCACATTCTTAAAACCAGCACCAGTAATCCGGCCAAAAACCACTAAGACACCCATGTTGCACAAACAGAGTCACATCAAACTGCGACACACTGAGTGAATTACTTCAGTCAAAACAAACAGAAAACACACTGCGGTTAGTGAGATTAGAAGTGGTACACAGTCTTCATTGCTCTCTGCAGGTATAGACTACTCAAAGTAGAAAAGTATAGAAGTAAAACACATCCCGTGCAGTCTCACACCAACAGGCCAGATGGTCATGCTGAATCAAAGCCAAACGGCCAAACGTGCACCCTGCTCCTCTTAAGTGGATTATCATTAATGGCCAAGCTTTGATTCTTTATAATCTGTTATTTTCCAAAATAGCTTAACAGGAATTAAGTGGAATTCAAAAGCAGACTCTGCAATTTTCCAACAAAACAAAAACCTGGAGGCAAAGACACATGAGCAAATTTTGTTAATAAGAGGCTTTTTTTAGGTTAAATTTGGTCAACACAGCACAAACACTGTACCATCCACTGTTCAATATCGCCCCATTTGCTGTCCGATCGGTCATCTACTTTGGTGTTTAAGCCGTAATATTTCTATGGAGAGACAGGGAGTTAGGGCAACAAATGTCTCAGAAAACAGAAACGGTGTCTGGGAACATTTTGAAACATAGCCTTGGACAATCATCATGCTTAATATAAAAATATAAAAAATGGTTTAAGGAAGGTGGAGAATAAGAAAGCGAGGCCTACCTTTTGCACCTGAAAGATCTACACACCAACCCCGATGAGAGACAGAGGAGAAAGATTGAATGAAAACGGGAAGAAAAAAAGAAAAACAATGAGATGTCAGAAACAAAGATATGAAACCTTAACTCTTAAAAAAAAGGTGACAGCGTCAGGAGGTAGTGATGAAGACAAACATGCAAGATTAAACATAAGGAAAGGAGAAAGGAAGGAGGAACGTTTCTGCTAATGAGACCCACTCAGGAATGTGAAGTACCCCCTCTACACGGCAGGACCAACAGTGACTGACCCAAGAAAACACACAGATCACTGGACCCACAAGAGGGAAACATCAGACGATTTCCCAGGATGCCTTTGGGCTGGTAGAAAGGCTGAAGTGGTCTGGTGCTACAGTGTCACCTTCAGGTCCATGTTCCCGTGACTGCAGATCTGAATCTTGTGACAAACAACTGGCTCCTAACACATCCTGGTACCAGGAACCAAAACCAATGAAGGACTCGTAGTACAGCTCATGCTATGCTGAGAAACAGTTGTGGTCACTTTGCATGAAGAGCAGAATGTGAAAAAGAAAACAAAATAGTTGAGCTATTGGTAAAAAATAAACCTGATATAGCGCTCGGTCTGTTTTCTTTGTAATGATCATGATGGTGCTGCATGATGAGAAATACATCGTTGGAATTTTCCATTTGTAATTATGGATCACAGTTATGGATACAAGGAGCCTTGTTTAGTATTAATCACAGATATGTCTGTCCAGTTACTGTCAAAGCTTTTATACCTGTTGGATGACACATGCATACCTCCGATCCACCAAAGAGACCTCCTGATAATAAACCAAATGAACGCCTCTTCTCTTAAACATTAGGAGGAAAGCAGGTGTTTTCAAACACAGGCCTCTTTGTTTTCATATTTGGAGGGTTTTAATGATTAATAGGAATAGAAGTTTTTGAAATGCTGATCAAGATCAAGATTTCTTTAGCTCACCTGATCAAAGTACAATCTCTAGAATTTGTTTTTGCCACTCAATGCCTTACATTGTTTAATTTAGGTTTCTGACAAGAGAAAGAAACAGCCACTTATAACTTCATGAAACGTCACCAGACTATTCTGACAGAAAGACTTAATCTACACACACACACACAGGAGTGTCTAGTTTACCTCTACCTAAACAGGTAAACATAAAACGGGATAATTGTCGGCATTGCCACCAAAAGTGTGTAATACTTGAGAATACACATCATAGAAAATAACTACTTTTTATATTTTTGATGATACATTCAGAAATCAGATTTTTTTACTGACCAGGATCGACTGCTGATTTTGTGAGTGTTCTTTCACAGAGCTTTTTATTAGACAACTCCTCTCTCTTTATGTCTTTGCTGAGCGTGCTCAGTTTGTCAGCGTGTTGTATTCTCTTAATCAAATCTCCTCCTGCTTTCTATTAACTTGTGAACCTACTACTCGTTGTAAAGCTTGCAAGAGGACGAGTAAACACAGACTCTCAGAGTGTCGAGCACGACATTGCTTTGTAGTAATCTGACTAGATGACAGGCATTAAAAATAACTGCATAGAAATAGCAAATCATCTCACTGATGATCTGGTGTTGTCATGAAGAGACTGTTTCCCAACAATAACTTTAACACTCCTTTGTCTGAGTGATCTGTTTTTGGATGTATAAATGAAATGTGTGATTTCTTCTTTAAATGTAGAAGAGCACCGCCCAGCCCTCTCCAGCACACTGAAAACACATCACCCAGCACTTACTACTGCACGACCCATTGGTCGAGTGCTTAATCCAGATTTACTACACTGTCTGCCTTGTGTACTCGCCCACTATATGGATTGGCTGCTCCTAATGCTGACTTTCAGAGATGCACTCGCAGATGACCTTTTTCACCGCTGCATCACTTCATGAGCAACAAGCACTCCTGGATAATAAACGCTGTATGGACCTTTACGCCCCCATGGGCCACTACTCATGATTTATATCTGGTTCGGTTTGGTCCACATAAAAGGTCATGTCTCCCCCCTGGTGTCCTTTAATCACAGCAGGCTCCTAAAATTCGCTGAATCTTGTCTAGTCATGAAAACATAGTCACCGTCTCTTCCAAGCAGATGGCATTGAGCTGTAAAGGTGAAACACATTCATAAACTAGAGGAGGTATACAAGCGTCAAGGTGAGGGATCTTTTGTTTTTCTAACTTCAGCAACAAAAACAAAAGTCTAGATTTTCTTTGAAACGGTATATTGTGGGTAACACTACAGGCTGATGCTCTGTTTATATTTATAAATCTACTTTCAAAATCATTTGATGTAACTTATGACTTCAAGTAGAGAGAAACTTGGCATGAATACATCTGTAACTCGTTTGATTAAAACATGTTTTTATTGGCTTACACAATAAAAAAATTGACTTGCATTCAAATTTCCTTTGCAACGAAAAAGAATTCTGTAGATTATGCTGATTAAGTTTTTGATGATTGGTTCAGGGCTGAATGATGAGATGTTCAAAACAGGAAACAGGGAAATTTGGCAAAGATATTGCAATATTGACAATTTTAGAACTAGAAAGAGATAAAGCCATTTTGAATATAAGGCTCACACATGGTCACGCAAACTGGGTTCATCCTGCACCAACTTGGGGTTAACGGGTGTGATGTCCTCAGCTTGAGTAGTAGTAGTAATTGCAATCCACCTGCCAGTCAAGGTGAGTTTTGATTTACTTTAGTGGCTCAACACAAAAACTACAAAAACACTCCACCAGCAAGCTTCTCTACTTGGATCCAAATATTTAACAATGGATGTCACCAGTACAAGGAATATCAATCCACACATGTAATATTATTCCAGCATTAAAAATACATTTTATTAGAAGCAAAGTGAAAGCTTCTTGGCCTTAAACCCAGAGGAATTCAAATCTCTTCATCTAGATGTGCTACATATGCTACAAGATGCTTTCAAACCAACAGATGTCAATCTAGGCTCAAACATTAACAGTAAATGATGAGGATGAAGCCCCTAATCAAACAGATCAATAACAGGCTGGTGGGCTCTCGTCTACTTACTTGTCTCTCGTTACATGTCTGGACTACCAATTAGCAGGAGAGCCAGACGTCGTCATAAGCTTATTCATTGAGTTACACAATCAGCTTAAATATTATGCACCCCTTCTATTCCACTCACCAAGCTCCCCTTTTTGATCGGAGGGGTTCCTGGGCGCCCGGAGAGGGCGGCCCTCAGCCCCCTCCCTGCCAGCCGACGCCCAGCCGTCCTGCCTGCCCTCAGGGTACAAAGAAAGGTCGCATCCTCCGTTAATTAATGTGTGAGACCGCGACTGGTCATGTAGGCAGCAGCACGGCTGGACGGAGCACTGAGATCTGAGCTAACAGAAGTAACCACGGCGTTTTTTGTGCTATACGGCCAATAATCCAGCAGTGAGTCCGGTCTTCAGTATGTGAGGAAACTTCCAGAAGTCCCAAAGGTGATTGTAAGCCATGTTCACGTCAACACGGCAACAACTACAACAACAAATGTACACTGTAGGCTTGGGCAAGGAGCGACCTGCTAAGCTACTTTAAAACTTGGCTAATGGGTTTAAGGGACACACATACGCGTGCGCACACACACACATACATCAACACAGTCAACCTCTGAACAGACTTAGATTAACAATGACCATTAATCCAGTGTGTATGACCTGTGTTTGTCTATGTGTGTAGAATGATGATCAGCACATGTGTTTTGATTTGTGAATGATTAAGTGCTGCTACCATGATTATCCCAATACTTCATAATGACAAATGAGTTATTTATAATAATGATAAACCACTGTTTCTCTTCAATAAATCCGGTTTCTGTCACCATCAGTGATTGAAGTTAATAGCTTTACTCTTTTTATGGTCAGTAACAACAGATTTTAAGATTGGCTGTGACATAGCTCCCTCACAGGAGGAGAAAACACAGCGATCCGTGTGTTTATTTCGTCTGCTGGTTTGAAAGTGTTGTGTGTCTGCAGTCTGCCTGAATCCATGTGAACAGAGGGATAAAAGTGCACGGCTATAAGGGAACGTTGTGTGTTGCGTCATTGCGGAGGGAAATGTTCAACAGTCATCTTTTTTTCTCAATAATCTTGTTTCATAACGGTTTGGGGCCAAAAAATTAAGGCCATGTCCTAGTACTACTCTTAATGTTTCTCCATTTAATTTGAAGCAGTAAAAAAAACAATATCAGAATATCAACAGTTTTATGCTGAGTTAATCTATTGTAAGAACACTTGGCTGAAAATAGACGTTATTCCCTGATAAAAAAAACGAACAAAGAGTTAATCTTTAGATTACAGGAAGGGCTGACGCGAGAAAGTTCAAAGAGATTTATGTCCTAGGCCACCTGGGTTTCATGTAATTAGAGTTTCAGGGGTCTTAACGTCCAAATCCGCTCTGGACACAGAAAAACAGACAACCTTAATAAGTTTGGTGTCGACAGGTGAGAAGCGGAAGTGTGTTTGTGTGTCTGGGATTACTCCCCGCTAAGAATAGTGAGCTGGGAGAAAGCAGGACTCCCCACAGTCCTGAACATAGTAGTTCGGCGAGGGAAGGAAGGAAAAACTCCATGAACACACTACTGACCTGCAGTCCACACACACACACGCACGCACGCACACACACACAGATGGTTCAGCTCTGCACCTGTTTCAACACAAATCAGGCTGACTGCAGTGTCTGTGCAAAGGTTGGCACTGAAGGGGATTAATGCAGAATCTTAAGATCACTGCGGACTTCATCTAGAAGTCCCAGTTAAAGGCTTACAGGTATTAAGTACAGAAGATGATCTAAAGGAGTAAAGCCTACCAGTCCCACTTTAACTTTGTGCATAATCATAGTGGCCTTTCAGAGGTGTATAGCAGAGCCAAAAGGTGTAAATAAATGTTCATAACTGCTCACAACAGTTTGGGTGACCTGAAAAGTTTTCATTTAACTCTTTGAAGTTTTGTTTTTTTTTCAGTTTGGTTTGGGATTAAAAGGAAAATGTTCAAGCCCTCCTTGATGGAGTAATTAAAGTGACCCTCGTCAAAGCTTTGGTCTCATTGCTTAGGCTGCTTGCGTGCTAAACTTCACAGTCTGTCGCTGCACTGTAAAAAATAAATGTCCATGGCTGTGTCCGAAATCACTCACTATCCACTGTATAGTGCACTATGTAGTACCATTTTGTAGTGCTGTCCGAATTCTGAGTGAGCATGGTCATACCCTATATAGTCCACAATGCATTTTGAAAAGTAGTGTATGAGGATGGTCACTATGCGAGCAATATACCACCCCCCACCCCTTGCTCCCTATCCTTCTTCCTGCATCTTATCCCATCTCTCCCCCTATCCCTTTCCAAGCCCGGCGCAGTCTAGGCCTGTGAAGGCTGTTTCGTCATGAGCCGGGGGTCCGGCCGAAGATTTCTGCCTTTTAATAAGGCAGTTTTTTCTTACCACTGTAACTTTTGCTGCTTTGCTAAAGTGCTCATGATGGATAGGCCGGGTCTTTGTAACATAACAATAAGTAAGGTCTTTTACCTGCTTTTTGTAAAGTGTCTTGAGATAACACTTGTTATGAGTTGACACTATACAAATAAATTGAATTGAATTGAATATATACCATCATGCATTGCAACTCAAAAGATTTTTACGAGCGGAGAGTGTCGTTTCACTCGGCTGCTCTCAAACGGATGAGAGGAGCGACCAGCATGAACACAGAAACTCGATAAAGTTCATATTCAGAGCGTTTTCCTGAAATCTATGATCGTCAACTTTAGTGATGTTAGTTTGTCCTAATGATGATGACAGACGAGAAACCAGAGTCTGTGAGCATAAATAATTTAGTTTTGGTCCGAAAATATTTCTCATTATGTAAAATTCAATATTTTATAAGTATTTATTATTTTTAAATGTTTTGTGAAAATACACTCAGTATAATATGAGTCATCACAGAAATACATGCTGTTATTTACCGTTGTTATTGATCCTCGGTCGTTGCTAGGCTGCACATTTCAGTTGCATGACAACAATGACGTCACTGTCAGCGTCTGGTGAGTGAGCGAGCAGTGTCCGAAATGTCTTTTAATTTTGCTGAGTGAGTGCACTATATAGTCCACTGCATTAAACTCACTATATAGTGAATAGGGAGTAGTGAATGAGTGAGTGATTTCAGACGCAGTCCATGTTACTGGAAACTGAGCCTCAATTTGACACATTAAACACTTCCTCAATCAAAATGAAACAATTATTCACCTACTGCTATCCGAGGCTTTTTTTCTCAATAAGCTGTATAGTTGGTTTATTAAAAGGAAAATAATAATTAAATCAAGACAATAACCTTGTTTACATGGTCACATCTGTTTCTTTCCCAGTCCTGTTTACATGATATATGATCAAGTGTTTACATGTAGGCTACTGATTTAATCACATCCGCTGTGGGACATCCTTGCCTTACTGGGTATTAGGTTCACTTGGTTGTAGACCAACTGCTGTACCAGTTTGTTTGTATTTTTAAGATATAGGTAAACAATTAAAAGTGTAATAAAGTCACCAATGTGCAAGAGCTTCAGCTTCCTGTTTACGAGTCTATTTACAAGTTATTAAAGTTACAACTTATGAGTGTTAAAGAAATGTTTTAGCCACAAACTACCAACAAGACCTCTAACATTATGGTTACATGTCACCAGGCCATGTGGCATACATCAGTCCCTATAGTGACACATTTGAGTAATAGTGTTATATTCATTTGTTGACCTCCCCCAGGTTTAGTCACAGCATAAATACAGATGAGTAGACGTGCCATTTACAAGCTACACCAGAGTTTTTTGTGGTAGCGTTTTTTTCTGTGTATTTCTCAGCATACTGTACCTCTTTCTGTTGTCTCTCCAGCTCCTTCATGCGGATCTCTCTGGCCTCGGCCCGGGCGGCCCTCTTCGCTGCCAGCCTGGCTTCAGCCTGAGAGGATGGTAAAAAGAGATACAGGAAAAGAGAAAGAGGAAACAGAGGGAAAGAATGGAAGTTAGATAGGTGCCAATTTAGCCAGGCACACAACTTAAAACATTGAGAAATGCGGAACAGTCGTGTGAACAGACGTCAGTTCCTCAAAAGGTTTTCTATGAGATGTGAAAAAATCTCAAAGAATAACGGACCCCGTAATTAGAGTTAAAGATGTAATGCAATGTAATGGATCCCCAACAGAGTGTCTAGTAGATTGTTGTCAAACTTCTGTTTGAAACGAATGAAAACAAAACCTGATAGCTAAAGGAGAACCTTTATAACCTTTGGGTTGTGCAGCTCTTGTGGGTATGAAGCATTTAAAGAAACTACATGAAAAACAAAACAAACCTGTGTTTCCTCTGCAGATAAAACAACAAAAGCCCTCCTCACTCTGCTTACAAAAATAAACATATCTCAAAAAAGATGAAATGAAAAGGGTTCAAATAACCTCTCGGGTTTTCAGAAGTATTTTGTTGGAGTTTCCTTTTTTCTTAAATCATTGGATCAACATGTTTTGTGTGTTTATTTGTAATAACAGTTGGATAATTTATGAATCTTTTTATTTCTGATACCATTTAAATACTGTTACCAGTATTTATAGTTTATTAACTTGTATACCAGTTGTTTTTTTTAACCCTGTAAGTTTTTGGATTCTAGGAAGATAGCATGTGAAAATATTGAAAATATAGCATCACATGAAGCAGATAATCAATGTAGTAGACACTGGTCGACTGTTTCTATTACAGAGTTCTGAGGGTTAAAATGGTACCAAAGTCATGCTTTTTAAATCTTGCTCCCGGTATATAAAAAATAAAGATAATTGTTGCTAATAATCTTCACAGATCATGTTGTTTACACTGCTGAGTGGCGACTGGATTAGCAGTGACTATAAACACAGAATATCAAGTGTCCTTTAAACACTGAATGGCTGTAGTTGACTATATTTATGTGCTCAGAAGTTGTGAGAATATTCAGAGCCCGTGCCGACGTGCAGTCACAACAGTGTGTAAATGTGTGTAATGTATATGTATTTGTGTATTTGAAGGCATTGCCTTTGCTCCACTCAGCACTCGGGCAGGAGTAGGACCTTTTCCTTAAAAGGACCTATCTCAGACAGCGTACTGTATGAGTGTGCGTTACACAGTGTGTAAGCATTTCCTTCCTCTAACTTTGTGGTGACACAGTGTGGTTGCAGCAGTCTGTTTGCCTCTAGGCGGGGTCGCTCTAAGCCCTCCTACCATCACACCGATGCATTTCCCCCCCTGTCTGTCACCATGACCAAGTAACAGAAGACACAAAGAGCAGGATTTAAAGGCAAAGATACAAACAATAATCAGTTACTACAAGTCATGACTCTGTAAATGATGTTTACTAATCTTACATTTCAATAGTAAAACATCTCCGGTTAGATAATTCAAGAAATGTTCTGTGTCTATACAAACAAGACTCATGAAATAGGATCAACCACCTGACATCAGTATTCAGAATTATTTATGACATTTGCATTTAATATGTGAGTTTTTTGTTGTTGTTTTTTTGTGAGGGTGTTAAGCAAATATACAGTTTTTGTTTTGTTTTGGAAACCGTATAATCACAATATACACTACAGCAACACAGACCCCAGTAAGAATAACTTCAAGTTTATGCTGAAGCTAATGGAGATCCAAACCAACCTAAGTAGTTTGGCAGCATGTCTTCTACTAAGGAATATCATATAACTGTTTTTGTTCTTACACTTCAAAAGTAACCAGATGCTGAGTAATGATTAAGTAGGTACCATGCTTAGGGATGAACCTGGTGACAAATGTCTCTTTAAATTCATTTGAGCAGACTAGACCAGTGGTTCTCAACTGGTCTATGAAAAAGTGTGCTGTTTGGACCTCAGATGGAACAAAACACATGACAGAACAAAGAGATGAAGCAAAACAAACATGTTTTAAAAGTGATTTTGAGACTATTTGACACTTCTTTTTTCCTCAAGTACCCTTTGGGACCCACTGAAAATGACTCCATGACCCACTTTTTGGTCCCGACCCACCAGTTGAGAACCACTGGATTAGTCTAAAGGTAAGAAAACACTCCAAAAACATACCCAAAATGTAGTAACAGTTTTTTTTATGAACACAGATAAACACTGTGCAAAACAATAGAGTGTATCCTATTAAGTTAAGTTGAATATTAATTAACTTTGTGACATTCATCACTCAGCGTGTAAGGGATGTCAAATTGATTTACTAAGTGTGGCTAACACCAGCAGTGCGAGAACCACCAGCCTCCAGTCCTCCTTGCAGGGTAACCTCCACATGCCTGAGCTGAATGTGGTTACACATTGTTCTGGTCCAGTGGTTATACGCATCATGTTTCTGTCCTGCTCCAACAAAGATGGCATCTGTCCACTCACTGTGCTTGTTTACATCTGAACAGAAGAGCATGGAGAGCAGGCCCAGTGACTGGTTGCTGTGTTACAGTTTAGACACAACTTTCAACCATCTTTCAGGGCCTACATTAATAAACATATTTATAATAGCTGTATAGTAATTCTGGTGGCGACTAGGGAAGGTACTGACATTTCTCCACTAATTTCACACATCCCTGTGTTCATCTGGGGTTCTGCCTATTTGCGTAAAAACCTGACTGCACCTAACTGTGATCATGGCAGTGAACAACCTTTAGAGGTCAGTGCAGCATTTCTTTCCTCTTTCAATTTAATGTGTAGATCTCTTTTAAGTATAGATGCAACTTTTAAGTTTAGGATATTAAAGTCTTAAGGTTGAATTTACATAATGACTACCAACCTAAGTCTGCTTTCAAAGTGAGCGGCCTGAGAACAGCCGGCTTGTTGCTGCATCAGTGGATATGATTGTTTTACCCTGCAGTAATCTATGTGCGTGCTCAGCACCTCCTGTTCATGGATGTGAGTAAATGTCTAACCAGGACATTCCCAACAAAAACCAAAACCAAAAGCTCTTCAAAGCATTCATCAGAGCATTGAAAGAGATGTACCAGAAATAGTCCTCAGTGATTGCGGTCTTGCCTCTGGCTCCCTCACCGACTGTCTGGATGGTATTTCCTCTCAGTCAACGATTGCTTATTGTGTTTCAGGTTCTTAACATTTATGCCCATGGCCTTCACGCACACACACACACACAGAAGGTCCTCTAAGCTAATGCTGTAGCAGTGCTGACACATCTAAACATACTGGGTCTCGCTCTTAATACACATTTTTATCATCAATGACCCTTGGGGTGACAGAGCTGCAGTGTGAGAGCAGTACCATGTCATCAGTCTGTTAGCCTCCAGCAGCAAAAACACAGCTCTGAAAAAAACCTCCTCTAACATGAACACTTCGTTCTGAGGGTGATGTCGCACCGACTCTCACTTACTCAAGCTAAGGATTAAGAGTTGTTATAACTCGGATGTCATTGGTTTACATTGTGTATACAAGGCAAGATCACAGGAAAAACTTAAATGTTCAGGAGGAAATAATTAGCTAATTATTTTACAAGTAGCTTTGAGTAAGGCATCTGATGAGAGGGTGCTACAATGCTGCATATCCATCAACACAAAAACTCCAGGACATGCAATTAATCCTACTGAAGAGTTTTCTGGGGAAGGCGGCTTAATTGACATGATCCAAAATGTGCGAATGCTATTAACCCCACCCAACAGCAGCAAGCTGAATGACACGATCGTAACAGTCGAGGCACGACACATTTTCCAAACTCAAAGAGCTTTATTTAAAAGCTAATGTGTGCTGAATTAAAGGCTGTACTTCTATAGAAAGTATTTTGTGCAATGTTCTTTTCTGCAGTCAAATCTTAGGACAGAGTGATTGATATCACATCTTAATTTATATTCATTGGTACAGACTACCTATCTGAACCCATGTTATGATGCATCGTCTGAGAAACAGCAAATCATGTTGTGGTGCAGAGGTAGAGTTATCAATCCTTACCTAGAAATAAATCCAAACACATATTTTTGTGTGACAGAGAACATAAACTTCAGAAACCAAGAAGGAGGTCCAGTAGGATTTGTGGAAAATGATTCCTAATATAGAAAGGTGTGAAAAGTGAGCATTCAGACAGTCCACCCACACAGAGAAGTGTTTCCATAGACAGTGATGTATTCCTGCCAAACTGTCAGCTTTCACACCAGTTGTTTCAGCACTAAATGAAACTCAGAAGAAGTGTGAATGATTCCATCGTTGGTGCCGTTTATTGGTTGGAAGGGAGTGATGTGTATGTGTAAAAAACACACTCACTCTGGGATATACCAGAACATTTTACAAAACAAATTTCTGATTTATGGAAACATCCAAACTTCTGATTTATTAATAAAACACAAGGAATAGTGCAAACTGCCACCCCCCCCAAATAAATCATTGGCTTTTTATATACTACAGTTTTCACCTTGTTGAATATACAGCCCCCCCCCCCAAAAAAGCAGTATATTCAACAAGGTGAAAACCCTGTTTTATGATTTAATAAATAATTTGTACAATTATTTGTGTTTATCTTATAATGTTTATTTATTCTGTAACATTTTGTAAAACCCTTGGCATATAGAAGTCAAAATTAAGAAAAGTGTTTCAGAGTTGAGGTTGAGGACTTCCTTGAACCATGGTTTATTAAACTAACTCCGAGACAAAGACTGTCTCAATGTTATGTTGTTTCAAAAACTATTTCTTTGTGCTCTCTAAAACACAAACATTTTCCTTTAATTAAATATTAAACAAAACTATGGGTCACTGTCCCCACATGTTGTACCTACAGTATGTGTGTATATTCCAGCATCCTCCAGTCAGAAAGATCTGTCTAAATAGGCCAAAAATTAGAATTGCACATCTTTTTCCCTCCTCCTTTTCAGCTATTTATAATGACCTACATGGTCTGGAAGTCCATCAACACTGCCCTAATTCAGCACTATCTCAATAAGGTGACTTTCCTCCTGAGAGC